AATGGAAGATAAGAGATTTAGGGTTTGGAACCTGAACAAAATATATCATTAATCAAAGGCGTGAAGATGGTTAAATATTCTTGTATATAAGACTGGAATCCTGAGGATTGTTTTTATGATTCAACTTGATGTGCAAGTGACTATCAGTTCCAAAATGATGTACTTTTTTGGGGGAGCAAGTGTAAAGGGAGATACTAAATTCAAGATTCTTTATGAGTCACAGTCTTTGCGGATAAAGTTTGTGATGCAGTAGTGTCATCTCAATGTTTAAATTATGAGAAAATATTGTTATTATTCAGCATCTTCTGTTCAAACCCTTTCATACTTTCAGGTCACCTCCTTAGTAAAACAATCAAAATTTTAGCAAATAAACGTAAAACTGAGTAAAAAAAATTTTGTCAGGAAACTATAAACTAATTTCTTTTACAGAAACTTGCACTTTTCACTGCTTTCCTAGCAAGGACACTATTTTCGATGCAATTTTGGCATTTGTGTTTTCCTTTAATCTATCAAGGGTGGTTTTTTTTACTACAATCTACATATAACTTACCCTAATACAGAACCAATCACAACCTTCAATTTCATACATAGTTATTATTAAGTCTGTGATCAGATTAACAAAACGAGGCATCTCTTCTAAAAGCAAACAAGTAATACTTGACTACTAAACATTGTACTGATCATCCTTTCTTAATCACAGCTTAGCTCATTGATTAGCGAACTATCCAATTAGATTATATATTATACTATTAAATTAAGCTTAAATATTTACTCATTAAGGGCTTGTGGTCTCCACAGGGTTGTACACTGAAAACACATGCATGACAAGCTTCTGCTTGTGTCCACCATGCATGCATTTCTTTATACTTTCAAATAAATGCTTATAAAGACCCAAAACATAAATTTCCAGTAGTGTCTGTAGAGTGAAAGGAAAATTAGATGCATGGATTAGAAATTTAGAGTGTATCAGATAAAACCCCGAAATTAAATTGTTGTCGGAGATATTTCAATTGATGTGGCATGTATATCGATGAAATTGATTGGACTTCATCTGGTTAGTTATACTCAATGAGTTTTGATCAAATCTCCTAGTTTATGAACATACAGTGAGAGTGTGTATATAACAGGAATTATATTGTTAATTTAACTTCACAATGAACACATTGTAGTCTATATATGGAGTTGCAGATATTTCCTGTAGTAGAGATTTAACGGCAAATGAAAAGAATGGAGTTTTTTCCCCCCTCACCCCTTGTATTCTCTGCATCATTTGATCTTAGCTAGCTCTATTTTTCCTTGATAAGAAATAATACGGATGGAGAGTTCTTCAAATATGTACCTAGGAACTGTACTAAGTGAAAAATCATATGCTGTATTAGGGAAGAGTACTATAGTTATATGAATGAAACCCTTAACATTAATTTAGAACCAACTATTTACATATACTATTACGTACTCTTCTTTCCTTAAATAGTTATCCCAATTGGTGTGTAGTTCTAATAATTCTTTCAAGTGTTTTTTTAGTAAAATCTCTCTAGTTAAGTGGCTTCATGTGAAATGAACACCCCCAGTTTCCTGCTCTTTGGTTCTTTCATGTCTATGATCATAAAGAGAAATCTTCATGTTGGCAGAAATATTTAAATTTTATGCAAAACTTGATTAAAAAGGAGAATTCAATTTTAAATCAAACTTAAGTTGTATCACTATATCACTACATCATTTAGACATCACTAATATGCTAGAATCTAATAATTTACAATATCTAACTTGCAACTTCAAAATATCTGAAAAATAAGTCTTCATGGTTTTCTAATTGTGTCTTATAATCCTCTTTAAACTTAAACACTTCACAATAATGATTTACACATTTTCCCACTATCAATGTGATTGAACATTCACAAGAAATCACTAAAATATCCTTTGACTTGTTATCTATATGTATTGTTCTGAAAGCTAAACTAACTACATAAATTTGAGAAATCACAAGCTTTACGACCAACATAAATAAGAGGGCCACAAATGAAAAAGAGAGTATAGGTCACTGGAAGTCTCAGGTTCGAGTCTCGGTTACAACCTTCGTTTAAAAACAAATTTTCTCGAGCAACGAGAAGAACGTAATTAAAAATAAGGCTTTAACATTTCATATTGCACAAAGTAAACCAATATTAGATTCCCTATAAATTAGAAATGGAGGGATCTTACTCTAGGAGATTGACCTCCAAATTCCATCATGTCATCTTTCTCTCCTAATTCTTCAAATTTTGGGTGGCAATTGGAGGATATTTTGATCAATGAGCTCCGCAGTGATGAACTCTTTGCTCACTACTCCCCTAATGATCAAGACACATCAAAAACCTCCATCACAGCGTCAAACTCCATGAAGAGATCAATTCACAATGAATATGAGCGTGATCGCAGAAAGAAACTTAATAGCTTGTATTCTACTCTCCGAAATCTTCTTCCAGAGACAGATGAAAGTGTATGTATCTCAGATCCCATCAACCCCTTAATTTGTTTGTACTAAAACTAACTAGTTCATATACAGAAGAAATTGAGTATCCCCTGCACTATAGCCCGTGTACTGAAATACATACCTGAGCTACAAAAGAACATCAAAAGGATGGCAGGGAAGAAGGAAGAGATTTTATTGAGTATGTCAAAGAGGCAAAATTTTGTGATTGAGCCGACCATTTCAGCAAAATGTCTCAATAAAAAAGAGGTCATAATGCAAATATGCATCAAGAACAGAAGCGAAATGATTCCTTTGTCGAATATTGTGAAGATTTTGGAGGGCGAAGGACTCGAGCTTATGAATGCTTCAACTATTGCAAATTATGCAGATGGAATCTTCTATAGCCTCCATCTTCAGGTTAGATTTTGTCTTTAATTTGAAGTATGCATTGACATTCAAACTATAGCTATAAGTTATTTGCTAAGTTGTTGTTGTTTTTTGATGGATTTTTTATTGAACAGGCAAAAGATATCATCTGGATGGATGGAGAAAGCTATTGTGTGCATCTCATAAATGTTTTAAAAGAAGCAAGCAAGAGTTAGCTTCATGAGATATTATGCCTAGAACTACAACAGACCGTATACTGATAACTATGTGCTTATACCAATAACAACAAGAATCTGATATTTCTATGTACTGTATGGTTTTACTAATAACAAGCTTTCCCTTGATAGCTGAGTATTTGTTCTTGTTTAGTGATTGTAAGTGATATATTTTGGTAATATTTTGCATGTATTTCTTGAACTATAATGATAAGCTCTGATATTAAAGGAAAAGTTATAGAGATTCTTTGAGCTCGCCAGTTCTTAGAAGTTAAATTTGAGATCAATTGGACTTTAACAAAATATATAAGATCTAGAGAGTATTGGTAATAGGAAAAAAAAACTGTGGTGAATCTTAAGTTGGTCTCATGTCAATTTCTTTTATTTTTTTTTACTCATTCGTGTTATAGTGTGTACTAAGAAAATTAAACAAAATTTTTAATTTTTAGCTGGCACCCTGTATTTGTGTAATTTTTTGCAAACTACAACAAATTTATGAAGGGGGAATCTCTCTAAGTCAGATGTCATAAGATGTATAACTTGCTTGAAATTGTGAACAGATGAAAATTAAGTTTTATACTAAAATTAAATAGCAGTAACATGGGTTACTTAATAACATGAAGCAACTAGAGAACCTTACACAAACAAGAAAAAGAAAAAGATAATAAATATTCTGAGAATTTGAGCTGAGTTTATTTTGTTTGCATATATATCATGGACCTATTCCCATAATTCAATAATTTGCAGCTCATCAGATGAACTTAAGGCAGTAAAAAAAATTCTGTGAAAGAAGAAAGAGGATTCATTCTAGACTAGGATGAAGGTATATATTCTATTTCTGGGAAAGAAATTAACTTCCATGACAGAAAGAAAAATATTTTCTTCACATTATTAGAAGATATTCTGTGATTTATTACCTTTAATAAAGAAGTCAAGAATCAATATCAGATGTTTACATTTTTTTTATTTAGAAATTTCCTTTTACAGATGTTCTATAAGGTGTATAACTATGCATTATTACCATTTATTCGAGAATACAGAAAAATCTCCTCGTATTTTTATTTCAACCCACATTTCTAGTTACTTACATTTCTAGTTACTTGATACGTCATAGATTTGAGGCTTTGCGATGAGTATGTATTAGGGGCCTCCTTGCATTTTAACCAAAATGATGGCAAGTGAACTATAATTAGCTCATTTTGTAGTGCAAAATGTAATTACTTGAGTTCTTTAGTGATTATTATCTCATTAACAGCTCATACCAAAATGATCTCAATAGCTCTCTTAGTGGAGTAAGTAAACAATAGATCAAGTTTTATTGCATTAATAGCACATCAAAGTATAATGTCTACTCTTTAAATCATGATACGGTCTCTAAGTCCTGTAATCCAAATGATAAATGTGATACCTTAACTCTATTAATAGCCCCACATCAGTTATTCACAGACAAGGAGTATGGCAATAAACATTCATTTGATGCATCATTAACCCAATTGATTTGATCACTGGGTACTTTAGTAGGTCTCGAATTATAGTTCATAAAAGTGTTTAACCGTTATCAAAAGATAATAACATCTTGAGATCATTGGAAATGAGAGGTAGATTTGTCCAATATCAGTAATTGGGAGACAAATTTACAAGCATCACCTACCAAGTAACTAAAATGTCATTGCGAGGAAAAACTCCCAATTTAGCCATTTGTTATAAACAGTGAAAAGTTTAAGGCTCACGGGGTTTTGTAAGACAGGGAGGTTAAATGTGATTTTCTTTTTCTTTTTCCTTTTTTTTTAAAGTTTATGGGGGGTTATCTGCAAAACTCTTCATAATTCAGGGGGTTTCTGAAATTAACCCCTTATATTTAATTATACCCAAAGTCATTTCGGGTAGGGTCTGGGTCCAACCTCGTACCCGATCCACTTCCACCCCCGCTCGTAAAAATTCCGTCGTCTCTATTTGAGATTAGGGTTTGAAAAAAGATAGATCTGAAGAAAGAAGAAGAAGAAGAAAGAGGAGGAGAGAAGAATGGCGAGCAATGGAGGCGTGGATCTTGCGGATGTTCCGTCGGTGGATCTGATGACGGAGCTCCTCCGTCGGATGAAATGCCAATCCAAACCCGATAAGCGCCTCATCCTCATCGGTACACTTTTTTTTTCTTTTTTTTTTTGGGACAAGATCTGTAGGATTTGGGAATTGCCTGAAGTTATGTTTGAGTTGCTAGGGTTTTTGAATCTCTGGATTTTGAGGGTTTAGTTTGCAATTGTAACATGAGAGGATTGCCATTCTTCGTGCACTAACCTCTTAAAGGTGGTATTTTGATGATACTGTTCAACATATCGATCTGAATTTGAGCTTAATCAAGGATCACTTTGCCTGTTCTGATCACATTATTTGTTTTTCATTTCTAAACCAGTACTAGGAATCGCCAGCTGTACACGCTCAGACTAAACATTTAAAATCGAAAAAATGAAGGAAAAAATTCGTAAAGTATAAGAAAAGAGGGGATTTTTTTTTTGGTCAGTAGTTAGAATCCAATGTCATCTCTATCACACTTTTGAGTTTTTAATTTAAAATATGGGATTGGACTTAATAGGAACCACCATCTGTACACGTTGAATTTTTTAAGTCAAACATTTTAAAAGCATAGAAAATAAAATGGAAATGCAAAAAGCCCCCCTTACTATCACCTACTTGACAGTTAAGAGTTTCTGGTTGAAGTTTTGAACTACATTCAAACTCTAAGGAACCCGTTTGGTTGGATGTTGTTGCAAATCCAAATAGTTGGTAGAAAGCAACATGCTTTAAAAACAGAGAAGTTACTACTAAGTTCAAATTGGTTATTATTCCAACAATAGGAATTGAAGCATGATCTTGTAAGTACACTTGTAACTCCAACCATTCATAACCAGACACGCCCTTAGTCACCATATGCTATCATTTTCTTGCACTTAGTCCCTTACAGATAATGGGGTTAGGTCTCCTGTCTTGCTAGGCAGAAGTTGGTTATGTTAATCTGACCCATTCCGCCTGTAACATGACCTGTAGACAGAAAATTCCATTGCATGAAATGGTTGCCAATGCAGAAAATGATTATACAAGAAGGGCTAAGTTTGGTGATGGTCAACAAGGGTTTCTGCAATTAACCTAGTGGAAACATCCTTCTTCCTGTTACTGAATATTTAGTATTGCAGGTCCTCCTGGATCTGGGAAGGGTACACAGTCACCCATTATAAAGGACGAGTATTGTTTGTGCCATTTGGCAACTGGAGATATGTTAAGAGCTGCTGTTGCTGCTAAGACTCCTTTAGGGGTTAAAGCTAAAGAGGCCATGGATAAGGTGCTTAGTTTGATGTTGCAGTTGCTTGTGCTAAGATTTAGTCTGAACTGCTTTTGTTTTCCTTCATTTTCTTTTTAGGGAGAGCTTGTGTCTGATGACTTGGTTGTTGGAATAATCGATGAAGCTATGAAAAAACCCTCATGTCAAAAGGGTTTCATCCTTGACGGATTCCCACGGACAGTTGTTCAAGCCGAAAAGGTTATAACATTCTCTCTTTCATAATGCTAAATTTGTACAGATGATAGATGTTGTATATGTTGAAATACGTCTTGAATTGCTTTCTGCATCTAGTTTTTATTTAATAGTTTGTCATTCCTGGTCACAGCTAGATGACATGTTGCAGAAGAAGGGTGTAAAGGTTGACAAGGTGCTCAACTTTGCAATTGATGATACCATCTTGGAAGAGAGAATCACTGGTCGTTGGATCCATCTGCCTAGCGGGCGGAGTTACCATTCAAAATTTGCACCACCAAAGATTCCTGAAATTGATGATGTAAGTGAAGGAAGTTCATTACTGCTTCTGGTTGACGTTGTTTGTTTTTGTTAACTCTTTTTATGCTCCTTGTTTTTGTGTAACTGAAGCTGTACCAATTTACATAGCCACCTTCTTTGTATAAGCATGAGCTAGATGCTTCTATGATTTTAATGGTCCTGGGGAAACTAATATGCTACCCTTTCATTGCTTACTTCTCTTTCTTATATACTTCATTTTCTCTTTTATAGGTTACTGGAGAGCCCCTGATCCAAAGGAAAGATGACACAGCTGCTGTTCTTAAATCAAGGCTAGAGGCTTTCCACAGGCAAACAGAACCTGTATGCTGCTTCCTTTTTCCACTTAACTAGATTTGTGACTATTATATCCATTCTCACTGCTTCTAACTGCAACGAAATTCTTTTCAACAGATGGGAGTCTACTTTTCCATTCATTAATTGTGTCTTTTTCCATACTGTTCAATACATCCTGTGCAACTGACCTCCCATATCCTTGACACGAATTATGTCTATAATTCCTTTATTTAGGCAGACATAAGAACCTTTGCTTGTTGTTGTCAGTTTCATGCTAGTTGTTAGTGTGCTCTGCTTTCTTCCATTTTTATCCTTAAACTTCTCGCCACCACCTGTCCTCTAAGATATTAGTTCTTTTAGTAGATGCTTAAATGGGCTCTACTTTTCCTTTTGTTACATGGTTTGCTTTTCTTACTGTTCAATACATCCCATACGCGGACCTCCCATTTCTTTTGACAGACACTTCTATGTTTCTTGTTTTCAGACAGATATAAGCACTTTTGCTTATTATTTTTATTAGTTCTCTGGTAGTTGTTTTCATGCTCCCATCCTGCTTTCTTACACTTTTGTCCTTAAACTTCTTGCCACCACATGCCCTCTAAGACTCAAGTGGATTTTCATCATTTTAACTTCCCCCCTTTATTTTTTTGTGCTCAAAATCTTTTTAATCCTCGTTATTCAGGTCAACACAGTATCTTTGCTGTTTTGTACTTGAAAATTTATGCGAGTCAGAATCCTGAAATGTTGAGGAAGTATTACAGGCAGAAGAAACCTAATCTTAAAATCCATAAGGGGTTTACTCGAGATGTTTAATATCACTTTTTTTTTGTTGTTCACACAAGTATTTTCATGCAAGAACATCTTAGACTTTGGTTGGTTGTAGTTGAATCCAACTACAATGCAAAATTTCAAATCAAAAGATAGATAGTCTACTTGCAGTCAATGAAAACACAAATTCAAAAGCGTACAAAAAGGTAATAGCCAACATCAACAGGTATGTACACTCAAAATGGAAGAGAAAAAAAAGGAACCTGTCAATGAAAACACATTTAAAAAAACAACCCAACCAAGAAATACAAGACTACTAAACCCACTTAATAAATAATTGGAAGACAATTTCAACATTAGATCCAAATTCGCACCCTCTGTTGTAATACCAACATGATGTAGAAATAAAAACTGGATATTGACATTGACATTGACATTTGGTTTGCCAACAAGTCTATGGTCCATGACTTCCGGGTGAAGTGGTACTTAGCAGTATGCAATCTTTGTGGGACAGCATTATTCAAGCCAATTAACGATATAAATAATTAAAAGGGAAATAAAAAAGTCTAGTGAGACTTCCACTGAGCTCCTGGCATGTTACATATCTTCATAGCATAGGATACTCTGGGCATATATCCAATTACTCCACTTTGTTACATACTTATATCTGAGAGTCCCTCAAATATCGTTTGCATGATATGATTATTGTATTGCTTTGCCATTGCAGGTCATTGATTACTATACCAAGAAGGGCATTGTGGCAGAGCTTCATGCTGAGAAACCCCCTAAAGAGGTTACTGCTGAGGTTCAAAAAGCTCTTTCATGATGATCAGGAGTTTAATGTAAACTTAATTTATTAGAAAAGACTGTTGGGCCTGGATGTCATTGTGTCAGATTTGTTTACTTGTTCATCTTAAGGTTGAAAGAACTTGTTAGAGTCTAGGTGTTACTTTCATGGTTTTGGTCATAATAATTTTTTTTTTTACTAAATCATGCGAAAGGTAGGTTACAGCGAGCTGCTATTTTCTATCTTCTGAAAGTTTCCTTTTGTTTGGGTGCTTGTTGATTGTTAAGCTAAATCTTGTTGAATATTTTAATTTTCCCTCCTTTTGTGCTGGGGCGTAGGTGCTCGTATTTGTTGATTATGATAAAATAGGATGTGTTGTTGAGGAAAAATTTCTGCACTGCATTTTTTGAGATTGTATTCTTTTCCTTACGAATGCAAAATATAGTATTTGCACTGCACATATATTGTATGAAAATTGCACGTTGGCATCATTTAAGTGCAAATAAGCTTAGGATAATCCACACCTCTACACTATACTGGTTATGAATGATTGCATACCTGTAGTCTCTTGAGTCTTATGAAATATCTACTATCATATCATTTCCATGTACTATGTATCACACTCATTCTCACGGTTTGTTCCAGATTGAATAGCATGAACCTGCAGCGCTACAAGTCTAAAGGATGCAACAACTTAATCGAAAATACTAACAAGTTCACAGTAATCATAAATTACAGAAGCGCACAAAATTGGATAGACAATAGCAACAGAAAAAGATCTCTTTACAAAAGCGACTCCAAGAAAAGGTTATTTGCCCTGCCATGGATATCTAACACAACTAAAGTCATAAATTCAAGGGAATTTTTTTTTTAGATTTTGAGCTGCAGTATTTCTCTTTATAATATGGAAAAACAAGATGCAACATAATATAGTCATCAATACTACAGGATAGTATAATTATGTATAGTACAACAATCTATACATCTGTGTACAATGAATACATATATCAATCAAACCATCTTGAAACGCATTGAGATTTCATGGGTAAGCCAGAACACCACTCACATAAGTGGCCTCGACAGTTCTTCTTGTTACGTCTTGTTCTGCAAATTCATTCCATGAAGTAGCATCCAGTACTATGAAATCCGCGTATTTTCCTGGGGATAGACTGCCGAGTTCGTGATCAAGGAAGCAAGCATACGCAGCTGATGTAGTATGCCTGCCATATTTGAACCAAACTTGTTAAGTTGTTTGCAGCAATAGATAAAAAGATTATTATATGGAAAATAATAATAATAATAATATTTATGGTTAGTTGTAGATGTGTGCATGTACTTTAACGGTACAACTACTTATACGCCCTAAACTGTTAGGTTACATTACAATAAATTACCCATTGTCTTAATGTCAACTGAAAAAAACACACCAAATTACTCTCCAAATAAGGGCGAAAAAAGAATGTCCCGAGTTTAGGGGGCCTAAGTGCCTAATAAAATAGTTTATGAAGCATTAGAAGTGTATAGTAAATTAAACCTAATATTCAGTCCACAGTAGAAAACTACAGTTGCTTGAGCTTTTAGAATGAGATATCACACGGTTTTTTTTTAAAAAAGACCTTTTTTGCTAAATAATTAGCAAAACAGACCGTTTTGCTAATTCTTTAGCAAAAACGATCTCTTTTTGGCCAACAGACCAAAAAGAGGTCGGTTTTGCTAAACTGGGTGTTCGAAACATACGGGACTACTAGTCTCGTATGTTTAATCGTCATTAATCTCCTACTAAATCACCCCAAAATCTACGGGACTAGTAGTCCCGTAGACTCTGGTTCGGCACAAACATCATCGCCACCTGCAACAACTGCACCATCTCCTCCTCAATATTCTGAAACCTCATCAATTCAACATCGAACACCTCCGTCGTCCACTCCTCCCTCACCACCGACTACACCCATCTCGGCAAATCGATCCCTTCCTCCCCCAATGAGGCCTGGTTCGGGTCCTTACCGGTCAATAGCTCTAGCAACACAAGACCGAAGCTGTAGATGTCGAACTTGAGGGTCGGTCGACGGGTTTCGAGGACCTCTGGGGCACGGTATCCGGCGACGCTGTTGGGAGGGGAGGAGGTGGAGAAGAGAGGGTAGAGGGCGAAGTCGGAGAGGGCGGTGGAGTCGGGATCGGAGCGGAGGAGGATGTTGGATGATTTGATGTTGTCGTGGATTGTGCGGGAAGTCGGAGGTGGCATCCTCGTCGCCTCGCTGGCGCCTGCGATTTCTAGGGTTTGAACTTCCCATTGAGAGAGAGGGAGAGAGGGTTTATGGTTTGTTTGATGAGGAAAGGAAAGGGGAGGAGGCGGTGGGAACTTCCTGGGGAAGATTGATTACTCCCTCTCTTGTTTATTAATTGGGAGATGTTGTCGTGGATTGTGCAGGCGGATGAGATTTAGTAGAATCTACGGGACTACTAGTCCCATTTGGGGTGATTTAGTAGGAGATTAATGGGGACTAAACATACGGGACTAGTAATCTCGTATGTTTCGAACACCCGGTTTAGCAAAACCGACCTCGGTCGTTTTTGCTAATAATTAGCAAAACGGTCTATTTTGCTAATTATTTAGCAAAAAAGGTCTTTTTCCAAAAAAAAAACCCCGATATCACACTAGCATCAAGATATTTTCTCGTAATACTAGAAACTTTACCAGAACAGGCACTGTCAGATCACAGATGTCTGTATATATTGTGCAATTCTTCGAATCAGTAAAATCATAAAGAAAATTTATCATGTTGAGAAGCATTATAAGCTATTTGAAAGCTTACGCATTTAGAGCATCAAGCAAGCCAACACGCTCAGTTGGAATCCAGGCAGTTTCCCATCCCGGTGGCACTCTGGTAATTGCAGTTTGGATCGATCTTAATGGATTGATATCTGCAACCTTTTAAAACAGTTGCTGGTTATGATGATGATAATTAATCATCTATAATAATTTAAAAAACGAGTAATTTAAATAATGTAATACTCACTGGCCAATCAGAGCCAAAACTCAAATGTGCCTTCCCAGCCAAGAGAGATTGAAATAAATATGACCCCTTTTGAGCTCTAGCAATGCCAATCTTCTTCTCAGCAGAGCCAGCATCATCTAATAGGTGATCAGGCTGCCAATAAACCACAAGCATGTGAGTTGTTTATAGCAACAAGGACATTCACATAGAACAAAAACTTCACACAAGTTCAGAAATTTGTGCTATTTATTTTCTAAAGAAACACAAAGGTCCCATTGCGTGATCTTAAACAAAAGCCTTCTAAGGTGGCAACAAAAATCAGTGAAGCAAGGTTCAGCTGATCATAGCTCTAGTAACTTACAATTGAGTTTACGAAGATCTTGGAGATCTTAGTTACTAATGGACCTATATATAAAATTGCAATATCAATGTCCTGCAGTTAACTTTTACTTCATAGTGACACATTATGGACATGAATCATTTGACCATAATAACAGAATGAGAAAAAAAAACAACCTGGGTAGTCAAATTTACCTGTACTGAAGCAATGACCCCTTGCTGACCAAAACGGATTATTGATCCTGGCATCAGATGCTGTGCATGTTCTACCTGTGATACCATTTCTCTTTAGTAATAGAAGTACTATTTCAAGTATACATTCTTACATAAAAGAGTGTCTCCATTAGAACCTCTTGTATTTTAATGCAATAAGAAATTTCAGAAAGGATACATAATATTACCCTGAACCTGCGATCTCTAACTCCATTAGAAGATGCAACTGTATCAAACAAATCTAGCACTACGTCGTTTGCTTTATCTCCTATTGCATGAATTGCAACCTGAATAATATTATCATAAGTTTGTAATGGTGGGCAAGATTTTTAGCTAATAGAAAAGAGAAGAAATACATTTTATATAAGATATTACCTGAAGTCCAGATCTATCTGATGCTAGTGTTGCATTGAGAAGCCAGTCAAAATCAGTCACTCTCAAACCATAATTGTGAGGGTCGTCTTCATAAGGCTGCAGTTGGTCATCAGAAAGAAGGATTTCTGTCAGTCCTATATGAATCTTAAATATCAAACATATATGAAGTTAGATAAGAAAAATGTGAAACTATAGGTAGAGTGAAAACAGTTTCATGGGCTCTCCAACGATGTATATGAAAACCAAATATAAAGAGAATGTGTCATGTTTGAAGGAGTAAAGATCAACTTATTTGATTAGTATAACTGGCACAATGGTTACTGGGTTACCACCTTATTCTATTGAAATGAAGAAAAGAAACATTTCATGTCAGAATAATTTTAGCACAACAGTTCCATGGACATCCATTTAGTGTAAGCAATGGAAGCCAGGTCTAACATTTGACAGTATTAACTCTCATAGATGACTCATAGTGAAAACAAGAAACATTTAGCATGGAGACTTTTATCGTGAAACCAACCTGTGCTGAAAATGTCAATGCATGTGCCAAACATCCTCGGGCATGTGGTCTCAAATACGTTTCATTCATAAACAAATTATTCACAATGCATGTATAAATATGTATTTGCTTCTACTTATACACCGAAGACTAGACTTTAGAGGGAAAAGACTGCCAAAACATAAAGTTTTAAAAAACAATAGTAAGTTTAATAATATCTTCTTTACAGGGATCTTATGAATTCAATTGCTCGTTTAAATTCAATGCAAGCTAGTTATGACTTCAAGAAATCATCATCTGTACAACGGACATTATTTTTCCCTGTGAAGAAGAATAAAAATATTCTAATAATTCACAAGTTGTGTAAGAGTTGGAGAATCAGGCATTCGCCTATAGTTTTCATCACCTTCTTCAAGGTTAAAGGTTTGAGTCTCCTTTATTGGCACTGCACAACACCTGAACCAATGGCCACTGTGGTGATAGTTTACTGACATGGAGATAGCCGGTAAATCTCCTCATAATTAATCACGAACAAAAGCCTCTTTTATTTCATACATAAACATATCAAAGATTAATGTAAACCAACTTCCTTACTTTACATGAATCACAAATGGCAGCACAAATATACAAATATATATACCATTGTCAATTGATGAAGTCAAACTAAAAAATCATTAAAAAGAAAATACTATCATAGTATCATCTATGAGCTAGATTAGAATTTACATGTGACATAAATATAAGAACTTAGTATGTGATGGTAATTCCAGTTTAACAAAATTTTAATCTTTATCATGTTTGTGAAAAATGATTTGAGACAAGTTAGTGTATTGTAATCTTTTTTTGTTAAATCTATTACTAGTGAAATCAACGAATTCATGCAAACAATATATTAGGTAAAGAGAAATTGAGCTGATATTTTGCTTTTAGCAGAATCAAGACAACTATGGGTTTTTTTGGTTTTCAAGTATCTGTTTGATCTTGATAGCATGTTACTTTCCATCGATAACTTAAAAATACAGATTTAAGACTACACCACAATAAATACATTCAGAAAAAAAATATTAAAAGTTTAACAATATACCATAGAATTGAACTAAGACACATTGTTTCAATATACAATAGAAATGAACTGAGATACATTCTTTTCTAAGGATTATATCACCTCATGGAAGAGTGCACTGTTGGAACCCAAGGACCCATCAGCAAAAGCTTTGACACCACCCAAATAAATCCACTGACTTAAGGATGATCCTTTCTTTTCACGAAATTCCTAAAATATTTAATAATTTGAAGAAAAAGTATTATAAAGATATGTAGGTGTTGAGGAATGCAACAAAACAAATCACAGTTACAATACAACTCATCATCAGAAAATTCATCAGAAAATAAAGGTTTTTTTTCCCTAGAACCCAGCTTTAAAATAGGGTAACTATATAGAGACCACCTTTGAATGTCAATTCATACATAAACACCTTAAAGTAAGCCTGTGTTGCAATCAACCACCTCCCAGTCGAATTTCACTAGAAACCCAAAAATACCCTTTAAAAACTTAAATTAAAGGTATGTGACTCATTTTGTTATTGTTTAGGCCTTGTTAGGATACAAGTTGTGTATCTTGAGGGTGAATATTTTAAGCTTATTTTTTTTCTTTGCGAAAATCTGACTGGAAGGTGGTTGCTTGCAACACAAACCCACTTCACAGATGGTTTATATAAAATGAAATTCAAAGGTGATTTCTGTATAATTACCCTATTTTAAGGTGGTTTCTAAAAAAACCCTAAAATAAAGCACATTGACTACAGGTAATATTACATTTTATCTTTATAGAACAAGAACCTATAAAGGAACTAACTACACACATATATGTATTGGTAAACAACATCTGCACTGGTAGCAAGAGTTAATTAGTCATTACTATGTACCTTATTTAAGGAGGTTGATTTCTGTTGTCAAAACTTTCATGGAGCATTGTGTTATATAGCGGAAGCCATTTTAATGGAAAAGATCTGCAGACGATTCTAATAAGCTTAACCGGAGCTTGTACATGTAATTTTGAAAGAAATATATTGGCATTCAAGAAGGAATAATGCAAATGCTATGTGAAAGCTACTTTCCATTAAATGAAAAATAACTAACACAAGGCACTTTGAATATAAGTTTTTTTAATGTTTCCTGTTTTAACAAATAGGAGCTCAGGTTATAACTCAGTTTATCAAATACGATCTGCAAAAGGTAGAACTTAATAAAGTTGGTTCTATTCTTTAGCGCAAATGCCTTAATATGAACTTAAAACATCTATGATATTTATCTGGAATCTGGATACTTGGTTTCTTACGGCATAAAATTTAAACACAATTGACAGCCAATAAGGGATAATTCAAATGCTACCTGAAAGTTACTTTCCATTAAACGAACAATAACTAACTCAATGCACTTCAAACATAGTTTTTTTATCCTGTTTTAACACATAGCAGTTCAGATTGGAACGCTGTTTATCAAATACGATCTGCCAAAATGTAGAAGTTAAACATTTAAACTAAGTTCTGTTTCGTAACTTTCGCATTAAATGATTTCGATATGAACTTAAAATATCTAAGATATTTATCCGGACACATTGTTTCTTAAAACATGAAACTTAAACACCATACTACAGCTAACTGAAGGTTTTTCATCATGAACTTACAGCTAGACGAGACCATGACTGCATTGGAAAGAATAAGCACACTCGGATCAGCATTTTACCAGCGGAATCAGCCCACATATAAACATCTGGAAAATAGTGATATTACATGTCGGCAAAGAGACAAAAGGCATAAACAAATGTTAGATATATATTAAACAATTGATTACCAATAATACATTGAATAACAGAAGTAATAAAAGATTATCAATAGTACATCGAAATAATAACTTCAAGAAGCAATGATAACTTGAACCTGAAAGATCTTGCCAAGGATGATCTACTGGTGTACCAGGAATATATCTTCCTACATCAACTACTGTTGTCACTCCCTTCTTCAGTGCATATTTGCTCGCCTTTAACAGTGCATTTCTCCTCTCACTAACTGAGACCTCAGGAATCACATCAAGTACAAGTTTCATCGCTGAATCAACCAGCACTCCAGTAGGTTCTACAAAGATGATGAAAACAATGAGCCAGGAAAATCACCAAAAGAGATTACAAAACTACACATTGGATCAACCCGACTCTGAAAGTGTCATGTTGCTCCAACGTGCACTTTCATATAAGTGCATTAGAATAAGTAAACAGTAAAAGCTTTTGTTTTATTTATAAATTACGAGCAAGCAAATGCATGTCCAGTTTCCCATTTTGTATGCCAGCCCTTTTGCAGGTACGGCTATAAAACAACCTAGATTCATAATGGTGCATTTACTGAAATATTGTAACCTATGTTGCACAAGTACGAGTGGGGGCATGAACACGGGTGCGGATACGGGACACAGCAAATTTGTAAAATGTAGGATACGGTGACATGACTATATGTATGTGTGTGTGCATATATATACATATATGTATATATATAGGGTTGGGTTACAATACACCTAGGGTGTAACAAACTTAGTTACACCCACCTGTAAAAGTACATGTTTGAGCGTCGATATTAACGATCAACACCGTTCATTATGATCTATGCATCCAAAACTTCATGGAGATCGAAAATGTCGCATAGATAAGATATTTCTAGTTTATACATCTAGTGTCCTAGACCTTCATGGAGATCGAAAATGTCACATAGATAAGATATTTCTAGTTTATACATCTAGTGTCCTAGAAATGAATGGTTTGTAACGATCTAAAATGCCTGAATTGCTTGAATTATAGGATAGAAAATCCCAAGACACATGATATTTGATCCACACTCATTGATCTACATGTCATCAAATGAGTGTGGATCAAATATCATGTGTATTGGGATTTTCTATCCTATAATTCAAGCAACTCAAAATAGTGGGCATTTTAGATCGTTACAAACCATTCATTTTTAGGTCACTAGATGTATAAACTAAACATATCTTATCTATGTGACATTTTCGATCTCCATGAAGTTTTGGATACATAGATCATAATGAACGGTGTTGATCGTTAATATCGACACTCAAACATGTGCTTTTACCCATTCACATGTTATGAGAACTAAAATCCCTATAACATTTTTATGTTTCTTATTGAACAGATTATAAATTAAAACACTGCTCGTTCTTGAACTAGATACTCAATTGATCCTTTAAAATCATACTTTGGTATATTCTCAATTAAAACATGTATTATGTAATTGAGTACAAGACTGAATAAATGTACGTATATATTCAAAAAGTGTCCAAGGAGTGTCAGCCATGGACACGGATACGAAAAGTATCAGATGCAGATATAGGAGCCCAGATGCAATGTCCACATAGCTTAGATTATAACTGCCATATTTACAGCTAAAATTGAAATCTAATCATTTGATTAAACATGCAAGATACAAAAAACAGCTTCATGCATGTTTAAGTGCTGGTGCAACATAACTTTCTAAAAAGTAACCTTGTACAATACTTACTGAGAAATAAACCTTGTCATGTAACTAAGTTAAGCCTAAAAAATACAATGCTTGGGTATCTATTTATATTAATAATATATTTAAATATGCTAACATTAAATTACTGGAATGTCTAACTCTAACAATGACAATAAGCATCTACCGTATACTCATCTCAAATCAATTATGAAAATAAGTGTACTCAAGTTTCGGGACTGCTTAGAAATTCACCTCCATCCATAGTTCTTAGAATGGAGCCACCAACTGGATCTTTTGTAATATTAGTGATTCCAGCAATCTTCAGTGCTAGTGAATTGGCAACTCCCATATGACCATCCATACGAGATAACCAAACCTGCATGCTAAAAATATCCCTGTTCAAACTTACACACAACTTCTTAAGACTAATTTATACAAGATTACAGTATGACTTAATACAGGGTTGTCATGTGTAATCTCATCTATCCAAGAAGCACTAGGTAAAGCTCCCCAAATATCATTGTTCCATCCATGACCTAATACCCATTCACCAGGAGTTTTATCTGCCATTGATATAAATTCAAGTAAGCTCCCACTACAAGATAAAAATGAACATAGAATATGAGAAAGCATTGGCAGATTGCTAAACAGGACAACTATTCTTGACAGACAAACATGCCTCCGATATATAAATAAGATGATAAAAATCAAATCAGAACTTGGTGAATCTAATCAGCTTTCCAGTTGTTATTCCATCTTAATTGAGGGAAGAACTCAATTAAAAACAACATTAAGAGTAAACATTTCAAATTTGCAATGCTTTATGTGATTCGAAATTGAAATTATCAAACTGCATTGCCGAAGTACAACAGAAGTATTGAAATATAACAGGCTGAAACTACACCATGAACAGGGTCAAAAATGGGAAGTGGAATGAAAAATAACAGGCTGAAACTACACCATGAACATTTTACTTGAATAAAATCTGCAGAACTGTAAAATTAGACATTAATTACCAACATCGGAAAATGACACAAAAACACTACAACAAAAGAAAACTTCACCCAAATCGGATTAGAAGAAGACCACTAATAAGAAAGGTAAATCTAAAGAATTATTTTTTATGTTTAGGAGTGCCAACAGGGATCCAATTGTCTAGTGATCTTCCTGGATGAGATTCATATTTTGGGTTTGGATCCTTAAAATTGTACCACAAATCTGAATTGAATAAATTATTAGATCCTTCAGAGGATTCTAGTTTTGCTGATAGACTTGGATCAGCAAGTAGATTCTAGTCTCTTGGTGTGTTTGGATCAGGAAGTGAATTACACATACTATTAATGATCTGCTAGTGGATCTTGTTGTAATAAGTAATAACCCTAATTTTCTGTTGATAACAAATATAGTGGAATATAAATTATTTGAGCAACTATTAAAGATATTGAGTTAGTTTTATTTAGTTTGTAACTATTATTTATTTGAGGGTTCTTATGTATATATTAATAGTAAACATAATAGCATGAGCAATTACAGATTAACAAAGGGGGATAGTTGCAAATTAAACCTTAAATATAGGAAATCCTACCCATTTAATCCTTAAATATAGGAAATCCTACCCATTTAAACCTTAAATATAGGAAATCCTATCCTACATAATCTTCTCTCACTGCCTCTATATCTGTTTCTCACGTACTCTTCTCTGAAACAAGCAATGTCAGGTGAAAAAGAAAACCTAGGGCGTTAAAGGCAGACGAGGTGTTTGGGTCGAGAACATTGATCAAGGTATAATTCTATCTTAGATTAATATGAATGTGATGTTTTAATTTTAATATCGTTTGAGGGATTTGGCTTTCAAACCAAATCTTTGACCAGAGATAGCATGGTTTCAAGCTTGTTCCATGAGCGAAGCTAGCTTGGTTTGGAATATCCTTTGAAAACTACCAAGAGGTGCAGCATGTTTCTGCAACTTTAATTCTAAACTTTGTTTTATTTCTTCTCCAATGTATATGACTCCCAGATCTTGTCCATTTGTAGGACGTTCCACAAAACAAAGCTGCAGACCAAATAGTTTATATACTAAGTTAGATGGAGTGATATAATTGTTTGAGTACCAGTCTGGTAGCTTTTAATATATTTCTTTGTATAGCAATTCTATGATAGTGTTATACTAGTATTAATAATTAATTAGGTTTATTCTTTAGGGGCTCCTAGTGACTCTGAGGAGGCATTGTGAATGGTATTCTGACTATTGCTTGATCTCCAATAAGTGATGAATTTACGAATTACGTGTTGTGTATTTTTATCTAAAAGTTTATCATATGTATATGTGAAGATTTTCTATGATTAAGTACATCGTCCTTATATGATTTTACTCAAGTAACAACTTTTGGTTTGATCGTGTTTTGTGATGACACAAATATTCAGTTCATTTCTTTGATGATGATCGTGTGCTCTCCATACAGTATCAGGTTGAGATGCATATGTGGCTTGATTCTCGCTATTGGCTTACCTTTGGCATTTTGTTTTATAAAGTATTTAGTTATATGAACTTTGTTCATTTATTGAAAACATCTGCTTCTCAATGTTAATATATAACGGTATATGCAGGAGAAATTAGTAAATCACGGTGGACTCAATGTGCCTCTATGAGGTTTTTATTTAGCAATATGAGCCTAAAGTTGGGTCTCACCATCCCAGAACCATGGGCTTAATAATCATGGGGTTTACCAAGTCAACCAAAGTATGAATTGTTGACTGCATTGAGACATGGTTAGATTACTTTTCCAATTGCGTGAAATATTATTTTTTACTCGTGGCACCAAGAATGGTAGAATAATTTATTGGCGATAATTCTCTTGTATATAGACCTGTTTACATTACTTTTGACTTATGATGGTTCATATATTTAGTTTTTGAAAAACCAGTGAATAATATATAGACTCATCCATTTGTTGAATTGTGAAGTCACTGTGTTTATTTCACCTTTTTCAAAGACTCGGGATTGGGTGGAGTTGATGATTTCCAAATCCTTGGGAGGCAGTAAGGAATAAATTGCGGATTCTTTTATTTTTAAGGTGAAGGATAACAAATTTCGTTAGATGAATTTGGGACGAATTTGTAAGAATGAGAATGTATCTTTTAGGTTGAATATTATTTCAAGTTGAGGCCCATTTATTTATCTCATTTAGTTTGATTAATATTGACTTTTGGATTATTGAGGATAATTGTTGAGGAATTTGATGATGAGATAAATTTGTTGGTTATTTGATAAAAGTATATCTTTGTAGTATTTTTGCTAGCAGGTTTAGTCTGGCTCCAATGTTCTCGAGGAAATTGGGGCCGTGACAATGATCTGACCAATAATCTGACACATTCTCACCCCTACCAGTATCTAAAACAGGGACACCCATAGCTTCCAAAACCCATATCCTCAACTGGGGAAAAGAAACAAAGTGGAAAATGTACCAAGTAGTAGATATAGGGTTGGGAGTCGTGAAAGGCTTTTAAATGTACTGGAAGGGTAACCAAGAAGCTTTGGATGGATTCCAGAGTCATCTTGAAGGAGTGCCCATCCACATATGCTTCTAAAGATGCATCTATATGTTCTCATTTTATTTTTGCAATAATAAGTAACTTTAGGGACCATATTTATGTATTTTCCATTCGCTTGAAGTTCCCAATTATCATTATTTATCATCTTTTAACAGGATTTAGTTATAAACTAATTTGTTCAGATAATTATACAAATAAGAAATAGTTTGCAGTTTAAAAGAATTTGCAGTTCAAATTTGTGGCTAACAAATACCAAATCGTTTGCAGTTTAACAGAATTTGCAGTAAAAATTGTGGCTAGTTACAATCTAAAGTTGGCATACACTTCAGAATGAGAGTATGATACTTAAGCTAACTACATGTATCTCTAGCAAACAGCACGCTAAGGCAGGCATAGAGAAACTGGCCAGCATAGAGTTTTAAATTAGTTAAGGTCAAGTGTGAATCTCTAGTCGAGAGGATACAATTATAGTTCATACGTTGCCTATTCAGACTAATCTATTCCTCCATAACAAAGGAAGTATCCAAGATTCACTATTCATGCCACAATAAATGCCACAGTAAATTACTGTAGCGTTATTACTATAACACACGGTATGTAATATTTCCAAAAATATTCCTGTAGTGCAGCGAGGTGCTGTAGCGTTTTCAAAAACTATTACTGTGGTGTAACGAGATACCGTAACATTTTCAAAAAATGTTACTGTAGCAGAGGCGAGATACTGTAGCATAACAAAAAAATGCAGTTATAGCCCATTGTTACTGTAGCATGAAAAAAGGGGACGCCGTGCTTTGCACGGGGTGCACACTAGTTAATATAACACGATGACTTTCAAAAAGATTATCCATTTTAGCACTAATCTCTCCAAGCACACTTGCCTATAAAATTTTACCAAGAAAAAGGGATTTTTCAATTCACTGTTCACGTGCATCGTTATATACTACCTTTATTATCCTTTGCATTCCCCGAGGAAAGAGATATTAAGATGCATGCATTAGCATTTAACAACCACCACCAAAGTATGTGGTATTACAGTCAAAGATACGACAACTAAAGACCCTCAGGAGCACGCTCAAATAACACTATTCTACTGCATACATAAGATCTTGGCATTTTTACATCAAACATACACTTTGGTTTTTAATCCTGGTTCCTCACTCAGAAGCCTGATTGTGATTTACTATCGAGGTTACTGGAGTCATCATACGTATAAAGGGAACTTTTCTAGTAAAGAAAATGAGTGGGAATGTTTGCATTTAACATTGGTAGGAACGACGACAACCAATATTAGTTCCATCTTCCAAAAAAATTGGATGTGTATATCCATATGAGCTGCGGCGATGAAGGCACCACATGATTTATGGATAACTGAAAGTCTGAAATAACTATTTTCATGAAAGCACTGTCAATAAATTTTGATCAAATAAGGTGTTTCGGAAACTAAAAACAAATGGGAAATGATTGACAAAGTTGTCTTTATATTAGAAGTATTAAATGATAAAGCAAACCTCTAACAGCTTCTTTGACTTTCTGTACAAAATCTTCTTGGCTTTTGACATCTCGAAGTTCCACTCGCCCCATCTGAACTTTCAGTTAGCAATTTAGAGCCCCATAATGCAAAGTAAACATATTCATAGGTAGTATTTAGTTTCCTGCATATTTAACTTGATCTAAGAACAGGAAAAGTATAGTTGCAGACTTGCAGTACAAGTCTACAGCAAATACATGAATAACATCCATTTACCAGGGGAACACAATGAAAACCATTCAGAGAGCTAATGAAATCACAGAAAATAAGCAAAAAGATGACGAAATACCAAGAACTTTAACATGCAATTCTGATTATTAGGATATGCTGGAATAAGATATGTTTTACCAAAAAATTTCGAACAGTCTATCAAAGAGCTTAAATTTCAAGCATATACAGCTTTGTTCCGACACAAAATGAGAGACGTAATACTTCTTTTACATGGAAACAAAAAGCCCGGCATGAAAACTACAATAGCATGGTGCCTGTAATCGCTATAGATGATAACCAGGTAAAAGGCTCGCGATGAATATAAACGACATAATACTACCTGCAATCCACCAGCTATTAAATGCACATGCGAATCGATAAACCCTGGCACCACAACTTTCCCCTGAAGATCTAACTTTTCAGTTCCCTGGCCTATGAGCTCCTGCATTTGAAGACATGAAACAAATTACTCACAAGAATTTAAAACACAAGTTAGATGAGGGAAATCCCACACAACGAACCTAATGAACAAATATTTCCAAGAAGAACATAAAGTAGAAGAAATCATTAGATGAAAGGTCTCAGTTTTGTGAACTTGCATCTCTCCTCAAGTTTCATTACTTTGAAAGAATTATTTCACGAAACTAAAAAGTCCTTGCAGAATTCGAAATATAGATTCCATATTGCAGGTCAACCATTTTGTTGGTAAGTCAGCGTCCACCATCAGCTTCATGACTGAATTCAACACTATCCATAAATATTCACGTTTTAACACTGGAAAGATCAGCTCCAATTTCAAACCACCCCAAAAAACTATTTCAATCAACCCCAAAAAAAAACCTTAATATCCAAAACAAACACCTGAACTGAAGAAAAATTCCCAACACGAAGAATTCGGCCGCCACGGATCGCCATGGCTTCAGCAAAGGGAAAGTCAGCGTCGCTGGTGTATATAGTAGCATTCACCACTACAAGGTCAGCTGAAACCCTAGAGCTCCTACTACTCAAAATGCTCCCTGCAGTTGAAAAGAAACAATCTTTAGCCCCAATGAAAGGAAAAAAAAGTAGGGCAAGTTCGCTCTTTTCCAGGATTACATGAGGGGTTCAAGAGGATAGCCAGTAGGGCGGCGGCCCGCCGCTGAGAAGAAAAAGAGAAGATTTTTCGCCATCGCCGGCGGCAGCAAAAATTTGCTTCTCCTTTTATGGAATATATTTAGATTCCGATTCTCCCTGTTAACAAAGGTACCAATGGAAAAGGACAAAGAAGGACAAGACAATGGGACAAAAAATGCTTATTAACATCATCACTTGCATCATTAACTAGCAACTGCTAGTATTTAGGACAAATTTTTGAAAACAACCTCTTTTACAATAATATTAGCTAAATCGACCCTATTCAAAAAATATGAGCAAAATCGATCGTATGTAGCCCACGTCCGGCGAAAATGGTCGATTTTGTAGGAGGGGAATTTTCTAAGTATACGAGACCAATAATCCTATGTATTTGGTGGATGTTAACCATGTGATTAGCAGCTGTCAAGAATTTCACAGGACTAGTAGTCCCATGAAATTCCTAGCCAGCTCGCGGACTTTCTGCTTAAAACACAGGACTGCTAGTCCCGTGTTTTAAGCAGATAGTTTGGCGGCTGGCTGCCCATGACTTGCACGGGACTACTAGTCCGTGCAAGTGTTGGGCAACCATTGGCCAAAATTGAAATGCACGGAACTAGTAGTCCCATGCATTTCATAGGCATTGCTCGTGCACATTTCTGCGCACGTTTATTTCCTGTCAAAATATTACAAAAATCTCCACTTTTATGCTTTTCATGTATAAATCTAAAAACCATCTCATATCGATACGTATCGTAATAAATCTAAAAAATTCCCACTACAGATCACACCACAAACTCATTTACAAATCCAAAAACCATCTCACATCGATACATATCGTAATATACACATTCTCATCACCACAAACTCATTTACAAATCCAAAAACCATCTCACATCGATACATATCGTAATATACACATTCTCATCACACCACACATTGAAATTTCAAGTAATGGTCACTCACATCGATACATATCGTAATATACACATTCTCATCACACCACACATTGAAATTTCAAGTAATGGTCACATACTACCTTAGTACATATTGGAATAAACCCAAGACACAAATAACATACTCTGACGCCCCCGGGTTCACACAATGCTACAGTCCAATGTGAAACCAAGGATGTCAAACCTGTCATGCACCTACACTGTGCAATAACATGTTTCACCATCACAGCAATATCTCTCTAGTAGAATCAATAATAAATGTAGGTACAAAACAGGCAAATGAAAGTAATAATGAAATGAACATGATTAAATGAAGAGATATCAGATAATATAATCATGTCCTAAATGAAACAAAAATGAAATACAACTGATACTGGAATAAATGTAAAATGTCTCGATAGACAGAGTCAACTGAAAAGTACATAAGCTCTCTCGGGTCTCAAAATGAAATGCAAGTCTAATAATCAACTAGAAACAAAACTAAACATTTGTGGAGCAAAAACTACTAAAAATAACTAACGGCGACTATGTTGAAAGTTCGTCTACCTACGGCTTTCCAAAACTCAGCTCCGCTACCTGAAAAGAAGTGGAATCAACAACGTCAGGGCGCTAGCAAGATCATCTCCATCCGCCCTCAGGGGAAGGCATGCTACATATGATGGAGACTCTACCTATATATGCATAGTCTACCTAAATCATTTACCATGTACTAGAAGGAATTTATGTTTAAAAATTTACAACACAAGACTGGTACATCGAGTGAAATAATCCAAACAAGGAAACCCTCATGTATATACTATGTGTCTCAAGTCGTAAATTTCTAAATGTGAATTCCAACTAAGAAATAATAAGAGAAAACAAATACAGGAAATATCACATCAACCATCTCTGAAAAATATCATTCAACTCCTCATACTTCCCTTAATGGGCAAAACAAATACTAATACACTATCCCGTGTAACCAAGCTGTGAAAATACCTTCACAATAGATCACATTGAAAGGATGTCAATAATCGCCTACATTTAGGTTATCAACAAATTTATCACATCGTCCTTCTCTAGAATTCTTTAACTCATCGCACTCTCGTGCAGACCGGAAAAATAGGTATATCAACTCATCTCTGAAAAATATCATTCAACTCCTCATACTTCCCTTAATGGGCAAACCAAATACTAATACACTATCCCGTGTAACTAAGCTGTGAAATACCTTCACAATAGATCACATCGAAAGGATGTCAATAATCGCCTACATTTAGGTTATCAACAAATTTATCACATCGTCCTTCTCTAGAATTCTTTAACTCATCGCACTCCCGTGCGGACCGAAAAAATAGGTATATCAACTCATCGCACACCCGTGCAGACCGATAAATATGTATATCAACCTCTACGCATAACCATGTAGATCGATAGATAGGTATATCAACCTCTGCGCATAACCATGCAGACCGATAAATAGGTTCAATGACCTCTGTGCACGCTCGTGCGGACCAAAAGTACATAAAGGAGTGAAGTCCATCGCGGTCTCACTGCAATCCTGACTAACGTACTCAGAGTGTAGTCCATCCGCTGTCTCATTGCAAGACCCAACTAACCTCACCCCAATCGTTCGTAATTATAATTAACTATAATAGTCGTTACGAGTAACGATTACAAACTATTTGTCTATCCCGAGTAATGGATTTGTACGTACTAAATCTCCATATGTATACCCCCCAAAATATGAGTAAATATCCACATATAATTTGCACTACACGCTCGCACAACGAACCCACGTGCAAGTAACCAAAACCACAAATTTGAACCTGATCAGTCGACCGATAGAAAGCTTCGGTCGACTGATCGGGTCATTCACAGAAACAATGCACACACGAGCCCGTCAGTCGATTGATGATTGCCATCAGTCGACTGATGACCTACTGTCAGTTGACTGATGGCAACATCAGTCAACTGAACAGATCAAAATTTTACAGATTAGAGTTTTTGCCTGTTTTTCTTCAAAGCTCGGTTTTTTATCAATAAACTTGATTTAGAACTCATGAATACTTAACCATAGGTTCGTTTAAACAAGATGGTATCACATATATGCATGAATCTAGGGTTTAACATTCAAATTAACTAAATCTTGTTTATCTCGACAACTTAGTGCATATGAACCAAATTAAAGCATAAATTAATATGTTAAAACAACCCTAATGATCATGATCACATATACTTATTAATTATAGAATTATTCTACTATTTATAGCTCTGATTTAAGATTTAAACATCATAATAGATTCTAACACATTAGACTAACATTAAGCATGAGAATTATCATAATTAACACATAAAACTTGATTTTTACACTAGGAAAATGTTTGAATAGAGGTGATCTTGCCTTATCATGTGTACAACCCTCTGAAATAATCAGGAAACTCCCTCGTCGCCAAAAGCCGCAAATATCACCTTTTCCTCGCTTCTCACCTCACAAGACTCTCCCAAAATTCTCAAAATATGATTAGGGTTTGAGAGATAGAAAGAGGGGATGCTAGGGTTTGGAATACTGATAAAAATATGTGTTTTTCATATGTAAATAGGTATATATAACTACAAACCCGAATCAAAACAGCCCAAACCCGAAACAGGAAACCCAGTCAGACTGGGAAAATAGTCTTTGGTAGTTTGGCTGTAACTTTTTTGTCCGACCTCAGAATGAGGTTATTTAAGATGTTTTGTAAATTTATTGAAGAGACCTATAACTTTTATCTTTTGTGTTTTTCCAGATTCGAACTACATCGGTATGTAATATATATATACTCTTAACTGGTCATTTTTCTAGATTCAAATTACATCGGTGTATAATGCATATATACTCTTAATTGATCTCAAATCAATTGTGAACATAATTATTCATCCATAAATGATATTTATCATAATTAGAACTCATTTATTAATATATAAATCATACTATTCTTTCAAAATTCATGGGGTTTTACACATACCAAACTAGGTTTATAAAGTATATAACGATAATGATTAGTTTACATACATCCAGGAACTCTTCTCCTCCTCCACTATCTTTTTCCTCCTCCCTCTCCATGATCCCAAGCTTGGACGAGTTTGTGATCCGGTTGTGTTTGTAGTTGTGACGGTCCAGCTTCATCGTCCACATGTTGCGAAGGTCTGGATTCATCGTCATTTCTGCTACGTCTTTGTCTTTGTCGTTGTGGTTGACGTGTGTATACAACATTAAGAGTCTACTGTTGCATGGCCTTCTTGCATCATGAAGATCTTCATGAGTTCGGCTTAAGGCTTGGTGAATCCTCTGCATTATCGACTGATATATGGATACGTGTTGTTGTGCTTCAGGATACGTTTCTGCGAGAGATAATTCAAAAAATCTAAAACAGAAAATTACTTTAAAAATCAAATTACAAAATCTAAAATTTGAAATTTAAATTTAAAGTACCTAGTCTAGCAAATTCTATGTCATGATTTGTAATGGCTTCAACATCATCTATTGTTGCTACCTGCAATTAAGTTAAAAACACATGTTAGCAATATTGAGGAATACCAATCAAAATGCATATTAAATCGAAATCTAAAAATACTTACAAATTCTCTCTCATCTATATCCCGGGACACTTATCCTTTTTGCAATTCAATCGGTGTTGTGGTCGCATGGATTATCCATCTCGAGTTATCCCCCAAAACCAAGTGTAGTAATCTCATTTCTGAGGAGTTGGTTCAATTTGCTCCATAATACAAAAATGCCTCCCTTTCCATCTTGCTATGTACTCATGATGCTCAGTTGCCCAGTCCTTCTAATTGCCTCCTTTCTTTGCCTTCCTCTCTATTTTTTTAACAAATTGTGGAACATGTTGTGCACGACCAAATTGTTAAAGCACGACCAAGTTGTCGAAGCACGCGGTCCGGTAGACGCACCTCTATAATGTCAAAACATAAAAGAGGAACTCTGACTCTCCATGTAGCTGGGTATTCTATGCATACCGGCAGTAGGCGATTGAGAAACCGAGTGTATGGCTCCCATTCCATCTAGAGAATATTTCACATATTAATTGCATATCATTAAAATTAAAAGACTATTAAAGAAAAAGCTCATTTTTGTAGAAAATTGTAAAACCCCAAAAATTTGAATATTTTGTGATAAATAA